GACAGTCCGATTGAGTCCAGAATGACATTCATTATCTGATTCTCGTTTGTCTTCACGTTTACTGTCAACGACTTGTTCTCATAGCCCGGCGCTGAGACTGATGGGACGGGTAGTTATAAATGAATTATAAATCACAAACAAATCAATAATAATGAGCTATAATTACAGTGAACGGTATAAACGCCGGGATTTAAAACCAAATAAAATTTCCCGTTTTTCGGGTCGATATCCACGGGTTCCTCGAAACCATCAATCATAACGGACACCCCTTTGGGAACGGTATTAGTAGCGGACAACACATACCCAGTTATTCCTGTCATTCATACACAAAATTAATATTTTTAACACAAAAATCATTTTCCAATGAAATACCTGTTAAACTGGTTTCTAAGAAACTCATAATTGATTCCAAATTATTCTTCCAGAGCTTTGGCAACTCATACGGCAAGGGATACGAACAGCAGTCCACGAGCGCCGACATCATCAACGACTTGTGATCACCGAACCCATAGTCTAACAACGATTGGCCGGCGTTGTGAATGTGCGACAACTTCTTGTACTTCACTTCAATCTCTTGATTATCACATTTGACACCATTTGCGAGCATAGGATTACTGGTGATGTATGCGCTGCTCAACGCCTTATAGGCCACCGATGCCAGAGACTGGCCGTCCAAGTCGTCCGAATTGATCATCAGTGGGAACCGTACTCTCAGTCCATAGGACTCCAGACTAAGACCCGTCACATACTTATAGACTAAGAAGTTCTTCTTCAGCGCCTCTATTGAACCGAATTTATTCGTAAACTCTTCGGCGAACTTGTCCTCCAAATCGTCATTACTATCCAACGATCGATTACAGACACCGGGAGTCGACCCCTGGAATCCCTGGTCGTCCACCGATGGTATGACATGCAGTGTCAACGACTGCAGCAGATGGACAACACGCGGGTCACGACGTTTGTAGCCATCGACCAAATGTCTGACAAATCGAAGCAACAGTTCCCGACCCACGGGTTGGTCGCCGTGTATTCCGCCAATAAGTACCACATTTGGCTTATCCTTCACGTGATTATCACCGAAATCAGAGACCGTTAAGAAGTGCAGAACTCGTTCTTTATTCGGCGCTCTATTCGAGAATATCTTCACGACATTCGGGTTCTGTTTGGCCAACAGTTCCAGCGTTTCGTGTAATCCGTTATTATCGACGTAATGATCGGCTTCGAGATTATCGCTGATACCGAAGTCGTACTTCTCTGACCACTGATCATACCCGGCCTCCAGAGTAAAGTTGATTTGTGTGGCCAACCCGTTGGTGATGACCACTGTCTGTGTCTGACCGGCGAACCCTTGCTTAAACGCCGTGACCCGATAGGTCCCGGGTATCAATAGTCGCCAGTAGTCGCCATTTTTGGCTGAATGCACGTCATGTGCGATACCCTCCACTCTAATGGTGGCATTGGGTACAGAGTGTCCATCCGTGTCCACCACAAAGCCTTTCACTCCTTTGTGCACCTCTTCGGCGAACACAACCAAAGACTTCTTGTTTTGTCGCCAAAACTCTTTAATGTCCGACTCGTACGGGTACTTACGGCAGCCTAACTCCAGGGTCAGCTCAAAGCAGTTGCTGTGTAAGTAGTTCCAGTCCTGCATTCCGCCGTATAGGGCGTACCACTCGGCGCCGTTCGTTATGCCGTACGTGAAGTTCTCGTTCATTATTCCGCAGTCTATGGGACATGACTTTCCCAAATGCATTGTCGCGTGATTCTGGTGGACAGGTATTGTAATTATTACTACCGGTATTGCGAGAGAGAGTGAGAGTGAGAGAGTCAATCAAAAACTACTTACAATAGAGTAAACGAGCGCCAAGTGTCTGAAGAGGACGTCGTCGGGAGTCTTACTATAGATACCGTCTTTATGCATAGGATTACCATCGTATGGATAGTTAGCCACAAGACTGCCTCCGTGTAGATTAGCGGACAGTACGAAGGGCTCGGACTGAATCCATTTCATCATTGCCAGGGTTTCCACTTCTTGGACCCGATTCTCCTTAAAAGTCGAGTACTGATCGGGAAAATTGCGGTTCAGATCCACTTTATGGGCGTTCCCTCTGCCGTACTCCGAGTTACAGTCGCCCAACAATGACCTCTCATACCCGTCCGGATTCATGGATGGCATCAAATGGATGCGCGTTTTGTCCACCAATTCAGTGATCCTATTGTCGAGTCCGTAGTTCTCCAGAAGGTATTTGGCAAACAGCAGTAGGAGTTCCCGACCAATCACTTCATTCCCGTGCATATTAGCCACGTATTTAAACTCTGGAACTCCTGGTCTATGAACGCCGGGCTGTACGCTAATCTCCAGCACCCATAGGTCCCGGTGCTCGGTCGACTGTCCGACACTATACAGTCGCGTCATTTTTGGATACTTGGCCGCCAATGCCTTAAGATTATCGCGCATTTCGGTGTAGTTGTGGTGTTTGTACTCAGTCTTAGTGCGGAAATCGTGGTCCACTGACTGATTGTGGACCGACACATGCCATTCCTGCTGGTCCTGTAGGGCACCTACACTTGGAGTACTAGTTGTAGTAGACGTAGACGATGACTGACTGCTACTACTCTTATGGTTGTCCACTACGGGCACCACTATGTCGGGAGTGTTGACACTGGGAATCCTGTGCCCACCGATCGGATTAAGTAGAAAGTCGAGTACCAGTGGCGCGGCGCCGGTAGTAGTCTTAACGACCACATCCTGTTTGGTAAGAGATTCATAACCGACAGCACTAGCAGTCAGTTTATAAACACCCGGTAAGGCTAAGCGCCAGTATTCGCCTCTAGAAGTGGTCGTCACGTTGTGGTCGATGCTATCGATGCGAACGACCGCCCCTTCGATGGCATTACCCGTCACGGAGTCCTTCACCAGACCTTTGACTCCCATTTGGACCTAAAGTTAACACAAAACTCATTATCACTTCAAGAATGAGAGGACAGTCTTCATGAGCACCCGTTCCCTACCATTTCGATGTACGACAGAAGAGATTCTTTATTATTGAGCCATTCCTTCGACAGTTCCCCGGCTTTCGGGTATTTACAGCACGAGAGCTCCAGAGTTATCTCATAACAGTTACTCCGAACGTAATTGAAGTCTTGCATTCCTCCTGAGATACATAATTCAAAACCCAATCAATAAACACCACAACCCCGTACTCCCTGACCCACACATACCGGGCACGTCATACCAATCGGCGCCGTTAGTGATGCCATCCTTGAAGTTATCGTCCAAACAGACGCTCCCATTCCTCATAGTCTTATGATTCTCAGCGTAAATCTTAGCCAACTTCAGGAACAGTTCGTCATCAGGTGTGGGACTCTTATGTCCGGTGACTATATGTTTGGGTGAGTCGTCGTATGGATAACTGGCCACAACTGACCCGCCATGAAGTGCAGCGGACAGTACGAACGGATTGGACACAATCCACGTCATGGCCGCCAATGTCTCCGGTTGTCGCTGACTGTCGTCCACCTCTTGAGTGACAAACTGATCGGGAAAGTCGCGGTTGAGGTCCACGTTGTGGGCGTTTTGACGGCCCGACAGGCGTTCGGCGCCGAAACAGTCGCCCTCTTTGGCCGACTCGAAGCCGTCCGGATTCAGTGATGGCATCAGATGTACTTCAGTCGTGTCCAACATCCGGGTCACCCTCTGGTCGCGTCCGTACCCATCGCACAGGTGTTTGGCTAACATTAGCAGCAATTGTCTGCCGAGCGCTTCGTTGCCGTGAATGTTAGCCACGTATTTGAACATTGGTTTCAAGACTTGTCGTGTAGTGGAACCGTTGGACCTGTTGGTGATGGCAATGGTCATGAGTTCCCGGTTTTGCACACTTTTGCCGATCGATGATAACTCGACTAAATGTGTGTAATTGTCTCGCAATTGGTTCAGGTATTCAACCATCTGTTGGTGCTTTAAGTACTCCGTGTCTGGACTCGGAACCGCTGACACCGTGGCTGATGTCGAGGAATACGTGGCCACCAATGACAACAGTGTCCATAATATCAATGATAAGATTGAAGGCATGATTGAAGAGTTGTATATATTTTTCGGTTATATATTAATCTCTGATTTAGTAGTCATTTAACACATGATTTGTATTATAATTGCATTTTATTAACACATGTTTTGGATGGCGTTTATGGGATCCGTTTGGTGACAATCGGACGGATTAATGGATATAATGAGTGAATGTATTGTATTTTGAAATCACAGACAATTAACAGATAATTAAATGTTAATACAATTAAAACTTTTAAATAAATACTTTTTAATTTAACACAAAAAACAAATTAATTAATATTTTTATTTTTTCACACTTTTTACACACATAGTATATATTTAATGAAAACTAAATACAGTAATCATATTTAACAAACGCAACAAGCAACAATTAAATTGTAAACATAAATATATACTAATAAATAAGTAAATAAAACTAATTGTGATATCAATTAAAACATAATTAAGTGACAAAAAAGTGTGAGTTTTTTGATTGAATGCAAAGTTAGTGTCAAATGTTTACTGACTTTATGCCAAACACTGTGAGTGAACACGAAATCGCTTTTTAACATTGAGTCCGCACAATTCTATTGCAATGCTAAATACTACCCACACTTCCCTGTCCTGAATGTACCTTCACCACCCGCACCCACCTCACTTGACACACCCGCATGACACCCTTCCCTCGATATTATCCGCGATAAGCACTGTATCTGTTTGTGAACTATTGCTCTGTTTACAGAATTGAGTGAAATTCAGTGTAATTAGGGGTCATACAAAATAGACGTTATGTGTTCACCCCCTATGACTGAATTAATTATTCTGTGATAAATTTATCGACATCCCGGACTTTATGATCAAGGTGTTTGTGATTCCTTGATAATTGATTGCTGTTATTAATAATGAACACATTTTGTTGTTTAATACAAGTGTGTGAAAGTTTGGGACTTTTTATAGACAGTGTTTTTTCAATGTATTAATAATTCCTATAGAAATAAAGTGCAATAAAACTTATTATCAGTTAATTTAGAATAAAAATATGTGTGGAATAAGCGATAGCACAGGTATGCGACAATAAATCTCGTGTAATGGTATAATTGACATACAGGTGCGCTTGACATTTGTGGTAATCGGTTATGGATTAAAAGTGCTGTCATTCAGTAGTATTTAAAAACGCTTAAAGTGTTGATAATTATTGTGAGAATTTATTATATTTATTATTATTATTAAAAATGATATGAATGAGTTTAATAAGGGTGATGTTGTTATACAATGTAAAGTATTTCAATACAAAATTTGTATTCCTATAACCTGGTCATTCATAAGTTAAGTGCAAATCTAAAATATTTTAATTATAAGAGTATCTGTCCTATACTTTAAGGCAGTGATAATAATGAGTGGCAATAATTGGCAGTAAAAGTCTATTCAGCAAATTCATAGCGCTGTAAGAAATCAATTGTTAATCCCATGAAACAAGTAATGCATTTAAATTTTAAACTTGGAAATCGCAAATTGATAATAATGAGTGGCAATAATTGGCAGTAAAAGTCTATTCAGCAAATTCATAGCGCTGTAAGAAATCAATTGTTAATCCCATGAAACAAGTAATGCATTTAAATTTTAAACTTGGAAATCGCAAACAATTTTTAAAATCACAATCAAATATTGTATTCAATGGTCAGTACCCCTGAGATAGTACATCGAACAGCACCGGATGGGGGCTGGGGTTGGGTTGTGGTGTTTGGATCGTTTATGATCAGTCTTATAGGCGATGGCTTTTCTTACACTTCGGGTCTGTTTTACGCCAAATTCTTAACGGAATACCACGAGTCAGAGGCAATCACTTCATTATTTGACTCCATTATGACGGGAATGATCTATTGCTCAGGTATTCCCCAATAGCACTAATCTATCATTACATGTATCAGAATATTCTGTGCGAACACTGTTTAGGTCCGGTAGCCGGTGGTCTCACAACAACCTACGGGTGCCGTAAAATAGCAATCATAGGGTCTGTTATAACAGTATCCGGAATGTTAAGCAGTATTATATTGGATAACATTTATACTCATTGTTTAACACTCGGTGTCATAACTGGTAATTTGATTGAATAATTAGTATAGAATTTTGTAATATTTAACTCTTGGGTGACGAGTAGGTACTGGTCTGGGGTTACTATACTTACCACAAGTAATGATAGTTACGTATTGGTTTGACAAACGGTTATCATTGGCCACAGGGATAGGCGTTTGCGGGTCTGGTATAGGAATAGCTATATTCGCGTTACTGTCGGACCACTTGATAGAGACGTACGGCTGGAAGGGAGCGATGCTTCTGTTGTCGGGCCTTATGTTCAGTTGTGTCGCCTTTTCGTCGCTCTTCCGGAAAGTGGATTACATGGAGGAGAAGAGTCACCTCAAGACAGCCCTCACTGAGACCTTTGACTTCCATATCCTTACGGATGTGGTGTTCGTATACTTCGCTTTCGC